ATGTAGAGTTTATCCGGAAACCTACCATCATAAAAACCACCTTATTCGGGCCACCATACGTCGCCTCCCACGTAGAGGTTCACGTAACTAATATTGCGTACTTTATATTCAAACATTTGGTTACTTATGGCTGGTCTAAATGGCGGTATCCCGGATTGGAAAAGCGGGAGGGGTCAGAAAAGTCTGTAGGATTAGGAGCGACATAGACTGACCGGCCTCCTTGACCAATCATCTGATGCATTTTGCGGATTGACTACCAGGCTGACCCATGTAATGTTCACCTTTCCCTGTGGGCGCTCCGCCACATTGTACGCGGGAGCGGATGGATGATCTGTCCAAGCACCGCCTCGATGCAGCCCAATCAACACCCACCTTCATATATTTCTTGCGATTATCCCTCATTTTCATTTTCACAATTCTTTCTTCACTTTTTAGTATGCCGAAGTGTTTTAAGAAACCAATTCTCCTTGACTTGCACCAATTTTTGAGCAGTGCTAGTCTAGCTTTCAATTTCGCGATTGATTGGTCTAATACTTAGCCAACAGCGCCTTCCAGATTGAGAACGTCACCATATCGGTTGACACTCCAAACCATGTTCCCAGTTCCGAGCGATGTATCCGAATTTCGGGTTGCAGAGACGGCCACAGGCCCTTCCATTGAAGAAAAGCGAGTATTCGTGAAATTATTTCTTCAGTCTGACATATGTGGCTGACGTAAAATAGCGTCGCAAGTACGGTATCCGCCGAGCCTCGACAGGCCAGAAGTCCCTACAGCCTGAGGGACAATTTAGAAACACTCGGGCAGTGGAGAACGAAGAGAGAACATCAGTTTACTCGTCAACTGCAAGCTTATGATTATATCTTGTCAGACAGTCAATTCTTAGATATTGGGGTTAATTCAAGGCGATTAATGGAAAGATTAAGAGCTTTGAATCGGCCACTGGAAGGCGAACCCACCCCGACGCAAGACACATTGCGTTTGTTGGAAGATGAAGTCCCCTTGAATGCTGTAACGCCGAAGGAATACATTGACAATGCTCCGGAAGTGCAGAGCATGACTGCTGAAACCTCACCTGAAGGCTCATCACCTACTACATCTTTGCTATCCAAGACCTACCACGGAACACTGACAATTCTGTCTCGTATCGGTATAAGGGGAAGCGACACTCGACGAGGCTACACACGGATCAGATGGAAGAATGTGAGTAGTCAACACTTATATCCACAAGCCGGTGTCTTGCGCGATTGACGTCTCACAGGGTCAGGGTAAATGGCTGTATGATGATTATGTTGCCCATGTGCCAGGTGCTTTGGAAGACATGAAGGCATTCTTGAAGTCATCAGCATATGTCACAACTGCTGATATGAGTGGTGGTAGTCGGCAAGTCCCAACAAGCTCCACCTCTTCCTGTAATTCAACTTCGAGCGCATCACAGACGCAACACTCTCCCTCGAGTGAGTTCACGGATCAGTTACAAGGCTCGAATATTATACCCACTAGCGACAGCCAAACGGATGTTGAACTGGGTGAAATTGTCTCTCATCCTCCACTTCTCCTGTCATGTCTTGAAAAAGGCAGATATGCAGTAGAGCTTCGCCAAGAGTCTATCATAGGCGTAGCAGATGATAGGCAGTTGTTCTACACACTACGCCGTATGTATCATGAGCACCGAGGACGACTAAGACCCATATGGTCTCTGAAAACCCTGCATAGTATTCATTTCATGAAGGTAAGCAGACCTTCCCCGACACTCCTCATATGCTTATCACGCACTAGTTTGCCTATGGCGGAAGCCGCTACATCGATGTTCGATGCCACGAAGAAATCTGCGAAACGGGCAGACCTTGTGTCTGCGTGCCTCCCGAGCAACTTGTCCTCCCTAAAGGAAAGGAATACGACTGTCGTCCGATTCCTCCAAAGCTTTCCCCACCTATCGGCCCACGACTCATGATGGACTTCTTCAACAGCCCCCAGCACATTGCCCCAAATAGCACCTTGATTGTTCAACAACTTCCGAAACGGGCATGTGGGAAGCTGCAGAATGAGTACATAAATCCTACCGAGGCATGGGGTATCTTTTACAAGGAAGACTGGAACTGGGCGAAGATTTGGTGGATTCTCGCATTGGGCTTCTTCCCTCCTAGTCTGCTTTTCGGGGTACTGTGGACTGTTTTCAAGCAGGATATTTCGGGTGCTTTTGGTGTCGCGAGTTGGTGGGTGGCTGGTGCGTCTATCATTGTGGGTATAGTTGGGACTTATGATATGTGTTAACTATGACTCTGATCGTCGAATATGTATTCGTCACTTTGCCTTTATATTTTTTCGAACGTAGCAACTCTTGCGCTAAATCATACGAAACCAACCTCCAACGGCCCCAGTAAAGACCATGATACTAAGCAGGCCCCGTAGACGGTAAACACGGATGCAAAAACGGAAAGTAATGCCTCAGCAGCCCCATAAGAATACAAATAGGTGTACCCCACGGAAACTTCGCCCTCCCATTCGTATTCACAACACAAACATTGCGCATATCATAACGCCCATCCGGATCATCCACCGCCTCAACCATCCCAGCCGCCAGATCCAAATACGACAGCGGGCCATTCTCCTCAGTGAAGCTCAGCGCATGGCCGCGCTGTACATCCACTGACAATGCGCCAGGCTTGACAAAGATAGTAGTCAACCACGCCGCTTCCTTGCGCAGAATAAGTTCCGTTCTAACAAGATCGTCATACACGAACGAGGCGGAGCGAAGCAGAACTTCCTTGAGTAGAACCGGGACATGGCGCGATAACTGTTCATCCAATGTAGCAGACGAGAATAACACGATCTTTGGTGCTTGATTCAGGGATTGTAGGGCCTGAATGACTGTCGTGGCCGTATCCTGTCCCAGTTGACAGCCTGGGATATTGTTGTTTGTGGAGACGACAAGAAAGACGGCGTGGCAGTCGTACATACAAGCACCCAGAAGCTTTTCGTCGTGGATGCTGCCTTCTAATATGGTTATCTTGTCTTCATTCTCAATGAACTCGGGCATGAGACGTAAAAGCTTCGCTTTGTCGCGGCAGTATGCGTTGATGTGTGCGTCCGGTCGCATCATGAGGATCTTGAGGAGCGCGGTGCCGCAGTTGCCGGTTGAGCCTAGGACGACGTATTTGGGCATGTTGGCTTCAGTAAATTTCTAGGACCTGCCAGTATACTGTCTGTCTCTCCGAGATAGAGGTTCTCTCATGGTGGGAAGGCGGATGGCAAATTCGCAAATCACGACACTTGTTGTTGAGGCTTTTGTTGACTTGAAGGCGCGTATAGCTTGGATGCAATTGGCTTGCATCTGCATTTGCTGGGGTTGAACTGGTGTTTGTGAGTTGGCATTCCAGCTATCAACATCCCTGTCGATACGGGTAACCATGTGTGCCGGGTCGGCGCTCACGGGAAGCTTAACTATCATGTCGATGAGGTGAAACACCACTACTTGATAAAGATGAAGTTGTATAGCGATCAGAATAGTATCAAGGGCACCCATGATCCATATGTTGCGAACATCTAGCTTTTGATGTGGGTTGTAGGCTATCTGTTGCCGTATTAAAAAATTGCGTACGGCTAGTAGGGCGTGATGTCTATTCCTTGACAGCTTACTACTAGCGGTCAGCACCTTAAACAATTCGTGTAGTTCAATAATTCAGCAAATGAAACGTATGGCTCTATGTCATGTACCTTGTTGTGGGGGAAGGAACTAGTAGCTCAGATATACGGTTTCTTCTCTACCGTTAGACCGTCGTTTCCCAGCGAATGACTACCATATAACAACATCACCTCCGTTCGGTCCATCCTACCTTCAGAGGACCATGTAGCTGTGACAATACCCGCACTGCACCTGACTGTATCTCAGAATATCTGAGAAATACATGATGCATCTGATGACCGGAATCACTGCCGTTACCACGCCAGTCCACTGCCAGTAATCTAGTTTGTGTCGCCAATGTGGTCCAAACAATCAGGAGATCGGCGTATAAAAGCCCCCAAACACCTAGTTTGTTCTTCGTTCAGAATCCATGGGCAGTTGCTTGGCCTCGAATATTCTACTTCGATGAGAACTTGCTGCGGAGATAACAGGGGATCACCATAGCTTCTTGTTGTGTCGCTATTCCTCCCCGTGGCACAGACACATGATCTAACATTAGCGCGTGGATGAAGTATAGAAATGATGGTTGCCTAAAGGCAAATTTATTGAAAAGCAGTGATATACTTGGAAGTTGAATATTTTTGTTGGCTTAGGCTGTATCATTCCAGACATGATCCCATCTAATTTCTCATATATTTCCTGTGCTAAATGCTGATCTAGTAGAATAGCTGATATTGGTTGAATAGCGTCACAATGTAGCAGTAAGAGAGTTTCCGGAGAACGTAGTGTGGAATTATACGCTTAAGACAATTTCCGGTGCCAGTTGCTTCCTGTCACTGCTGGTAAGGTGCTTGGGCCGCTGATCGCTCCAATATCGGACATAAGTCGGCCTCGCAAACTATATCACGAAATGTATTAGCATAGCTGCATTGGTTCCGGATTTATAGACAGCTCCGATGGGATGAGCTTGATGTCACCATGGTGCACAGACTAAGTCCATTGCATGCAAGTCGAGCTGTAATCACCCTCCTTCTTAAGTCCGAGGACAGGCGGGTGGAGATTGGTGTACTGTAAGCTTGGTAGAACCATATGGATTCCATGCTGTAATAGGTCCAAAGTAAGTGCGAAATGGCACGGCCAGTGCCATTAGAACTAGTGTTGTTGGGACGTTGTAGTGAAGTCGGTACGCTGGTAATATGCCAGAGCTAAAATATACACCCTCTAATTAATTTTTTCAGCTTCTGCTGGTGACGTACACGGAGAGATCATCTTGTAAATGAGATTAGGGTTAAGCTAGCTAGTCGGAACATCATTTGCACATTTTCGCTATTCACTATCGGCCGGGAAGGGAAACCCGCAGTGGGAAAGACCTCACAACCCGGCGGTGACTAGCAGTTACTCCTCCTTATGAAGGAAGACGCGACAGAAACGATGCGACTTTGTGGAAGATATCTGTTTCAATGGAAGTCGGTGAAGGACAAAGAACAGGTATTACGCCTCTGTTCCTGCAATATTCTTGCACGCTGGTATCTATTTCGAGACCATACTATTCAGGCGTACTGGATGCTAATACTGGAAGATTTTGTTGCCTCGAACCTGACTAATACTCCTTGGTGGGGCACCCAGTGACTGGTATCGATACTCAATGTCTTTTAAATGAAGAAGTGAACTAGCAGATGGTGCCAGAAGCATGACGCCAAAACTGATGGTGTTGAGAGTGAGTGGTGGGAGCCGCAAGTCAAATCAGGCCAACCGTTCTCACAACGGGCCAACATCGACACTCCCGTCCTCTCCGTCTCACCTTTCTTTGCATGGTGCTGGGCGAATGAAATGCACTAAAGCAGCGGAGACGCCAAAAGCGAATGATTGCAGCCGGGACTCGCTTGTCCCTTCTCGGAGGGTAACCGAGGCTACCTAAACTGTGTTCACTCACCGGCATCCCCGTGGGGATCTCCGAGCTGACCCCTTTTCCCCATGGCACCGTGACCTCGACTATCCGGCCATCCAAACATGTATCGCATACATCTCTCGCAATCTGACCACCAACCCAAATAAAAATCCCATGGATTCGGCGTGCTGGAATGTTACCCCAAGTCAAGGAAGGCGCGTGAGTCACAAGTGGGCCCGGCTGACGGCACCACCAGCTGTTGGCTTCGGACTTGAATACCTGGATAGGCCGGGACCAGGAGGTCGGTGGTCTCATGTCCTGGCAACCCCGATTCTCTCGACGGTGGCCCGAGCTATCTGTCGCGCGAAGGATGCCGGCTCGTGCAAGCAGCAGACTGCGAAGCGGAAATCACGGCAGTACAATCCGCAACTGCGACCGAGCGGAATCAGGCGCTGATCGGTTGGGTGGCCGGCATACGCCAGCGCAGAGTGTGAGACGCAAGGGGCTTTTAGCGTTAGACACTGGATGGGCTGTAGTAGCGAGGTGACATTCCACGTGTCGCAGAAGCTCAACTCGTGGCAAACCCAGTGATCAGACATCGTCTCAGTGGTCTAAGAACAGAGCCTAACGCTCGATGGGTATTTTCATAACCAGCCAGTGAGGAAAAGAGCAGTTCTAACCATGGGCTGATTTCCGGCTGTTGTGCCGGCCTGATGGCTGCAAGTTTGGTGGTTGTAGGGAAAATCCGGCTAAATCTGATTATCATTGCCTGTCAGAGAATGGTCTGGTCTCTCTTCTGCTGTCGAGATCCGTCTTGTGCATTCCCCCATATTCTACCTCCGCTTTTTCCATTGACAGTGGTGGTCGTGCCCCTTCGCCCTTACCATGGTTCCCCTCTTTTCTCCCATCCCCGCAAAATCCACTGGCTGCTTTCGTACCATTTCACGATATCCTTTCTGTCCCAACCTACGTACTTGATGTCATCATTCAACCGTGTCACCCGGCTAGCGCTTGCCAAGCACCGCCAGGCGTAGCCATTACCAGGCCGCCCGCCACGAAGCTTGTATCCAACCGGCGGATATAATCCAATCCGACCTCCACAATGCCGAACCTGCGCGCCGATGACAAACCATGCCTAATCATAGCCCCCATGGCATCCGACTGGCCCCACGGGGATGAATCGCATCCTTGGGGTAAAAGGATTGTAGCACGCCTTACCAGACATAGCTAGCCTGGCACCGATGGATGAAGTCTGGCTAAATTGAATGCCCAATCATGGGGCTATGGGACACACTTCGTGAAATTGCATGACATCGATGTCGGCCAGTAGCGATATTGTTCTAGTTTCAAATTGGAATAGCCTAAACAAAAAAACAACAGCAGTCGAGGAAAGGATGATGCTGCAGCTATAGCTATACGGGACGAATGACAGGCGTTGCGTCCTGGTCCGGTTGTTTTTATGTCGCATGCTCCCCGCGAGATGACGATCGTTGGTCTTCGTTCTCTTGCTTTCTGTCACTCACATATCTTGTGAATTACACTGTTCTCTGTTCATATCATCGGTCGTCTGCAGGGTTTGTACCGTGACTGTCCATATCATCCTTCAATATGGGTATGGGTGCGGGCGCTGAGGCCGTGTCTGGCAAGCGTGCTGAGCTCGCCGGCAATCGCGTCGGATGGCGTGGGCTCCTGAGCAGCAAGAAGACCTTTGCAATTGCGCTTTTCGCGTCGCTGGGTGGTTTCGTCTATGGATGTAGGTTTAATATGGCTTATTGACAACAAGGCCTGGCTAACGGGCTTGAAAGACAACCAGGGAATGTTCTCCGAAATTCTTACCATGAACTCCTTCATCAAAGCGGTATGCCATCTCTTCACCTCGTCTCACACCAACACTAACAAGTAAAGACCGACGGATATGCAGCGCGAACCGGTCTCAAGCAGGGTATGCTTACATCCATTCTGGAATTGGGAGCGTGGGTCGGTACACTATTGAACGGTTATCTCGCCGATGCCATGGGTCGTCGTCAAACTGTCGTTGTCGCTGTGGTCATCTTCTGCGTCGGTGTGATTGTCCAGGCTTGTACGAAAAATGCTGGTTACGTCTTTGCCGGTCGGTTCGTAACCGGTCTGGGAGTGGGTAATCTGAGTATGATTGTTCCTCTGTATAACGCAGAGCTGGTACGTCGCAGCGCCTTTCCGGTACATGTTCACGGGTGTTAACGATTTAGGCTCCCCCCGAAATTCGTGGCTCTCTAGTCGCCGTACAGCAGCTGTCCATTACCTTCGGTATCATGGTCAGCTTCTGGGTACGTTATACTATCTATATCTTTTGGAGTCAAAAGCTAACTATGACAGATTGGCTATGGCACCAACTACATTGGCGGGACGGGTGATGGCCAGTCCATTGCGGCCTGGGAGATCCCTGTTTGCATTCAAGTCCTTCCGGCCCTGATCCTCGCTGCAGGAATGGTTCTGTTCATGCCTCAGTCGCCTCGTCATCTGATGAACCAGGGACGGGACGAGGAATGTCTGCAGACTCTTGCCCGACTTCGCGATGCCCCCACCGACGACATTCTGGTTCGCATCGAGTACTTGGAGATCAAGTCGCTCAAGATGTTTGAGGAGGAAACTGCCAAGAAGAAGTACCCTCAATATCAGGATGGATCGTTTAAGAGTAACTTCATGATTGGGTTCCACGACTACCTTTCGCTCATCACAAACCCGTCGCTGTTCAAGCGGACCACCGTTGCGGTATGCAAGGACCTACCCCTAACTTCAAATACTTCATTACTGACGTCTCTAGTGCTTGATCATGCTTTTCCAACAATGGAACGGAATCAACGCCATTAACTACTACGCGCCTCAAGTTTTCGAAGGCCTTGAATTGGGAGGAAATACGACATCCCTCTTGGCTACCGGTGTTGCGGGTATCTTCGAGTTTGTCTTCACGATCCCGGCCGTTCTCTGGGTCGACAACATCGGTCGTAAGAAGATCCTGCTTGCCGGTGCGGTTGGTATGGCAGTCTGCCATTTCATCTGCGCGGGTCTCATTGGTTCGTACGAGGGGACATTTGGAGAGCACAAGAGCGCAGGATGGGCAACAGTCGCATTCGTGTGGATCTTTATCATTAACTTTGCCTACTCATGGGGTACGTGATATTCGATCAATAACCCGCTCTCATCGACAGTAATGCTTACTATATCAAACAGGTCCGTGCGCATGGATCGTGGTATCCGAAGTTTTCCCGCTCAGCATGCGTGCCAAGGGCGTCAGTATTGGCGGTAGCAGCAACTGGGTAAGTGGTCCAGTACCACTTCTTTCATCGAAACACTAATTCTGACTACTCCCAGCTCAACAACTTCGGTGTCGGTCTAGCCACCTCCCCCTTCATCGCCGCTTCCACCTACGGCACCTTCATCTTCTTCGGCTGCATCACAGTGGTCGGAGCGGTCTACGTGTGGTTCTTCGTTCCTGAAACCAAGGGGCGCACACTAGAAGAGATGGACGAACTATTCGGCTCTGAGGGCATGGCAGCCGAAGACGAGGCGCTCCGACAACAAATTGATCGCGAGATCGGCTTGACGGCACTGCTTCAGGGCGAGATGATTGAATCTACCGAGAAGATTCCCGAGAAGGCGGTCCATGCAGACGATGTGGCCCTGACTCCTCCCTCGGCGTAAGCCAGCCGCATGTGGTGGAGCAAACAGTGTCATCTCAAACTGGGGGTGGATGAACCTAATACCAAAGGGGAGGGAAAGACAGACAGAAGGAAAGGCCCGGCTATCCGGAACGGCTGGAAGCTAGCCAGCCATGAAGGAGCAAACAATGCACGATTGGCTGCTACTTACTTACTGTCATCAGGCCCCCTCTTTAGCCGTAATCCAAGGAAATAATGCAGTGTAGTACTTAATCAGACCAATCCACTTAGGCTATATTCCCCCGCCACTTCTCTTTGGAGAAAAAAAAAAAAAGCACTAAGCAAAAAAGAGTAATCCCGAGCTACGGCCTCGTCATCAGGTCTTATTCCTACCAACCACACCTTCGCGCCCAGACCCCTAATATCCCTAGTACGAATTGTTTGTAGTGTCCATTGGCTCATTCCTCCGCATAGGCGGGTCGAGCCGAACGCGGAGGGCTCCAGTTGGTTCTTGTTCGGGCCAATCAGTACTATTTGCGCGGTACCCCGCGGGTCTTGAATCGTCCGGAGAAAAGCCGGGGAGAGAAACTTCCCGGGGATTGTTGACAAGAGTAGGATGGATTCTTATGGACTAGGCTGAGTTGGGATGGGGCTAGTTATTTACCTAGGTGCTCGCTAAATTCCGAGGGGGGAGGTGATGAAGGATGATGATGGGTTTCGGGTTGGGAGAATGACTACCTACGCTAAGCCAATTTGTGGTCGTTGCGATCGCATTCTTCTTTTTACTTTAGTACACATTGTTGCCAGACTTAGGGATAAAAATAAAATGAAACAAAATATAAGAGTGTCTCATCCCAAATCCACTGAATTTGCTATCGGTTCAAGTTGAACAGAAGAACTATTATTGACTATACCCATCATCGCTCATTCGTGTTCATGGGAGTCAATATTTATCAAGGCCGTCTTTACTTATCAAATCGATCTATAACTAGTTCTGGTTCATACCTGAAGCAGATGAGGCCTCAGCAAAGTACTTCCCGTATGTCATTACGAAGTGACCTCAAACTGGTGACAAAGGGAGTTAATTAAAGTAACGTTTTTAGCAGTTAACCAGCTTTCACTCATTTTGACGTTTAGTGTATTCGACAACTTCAGTTTGGCTGATTATCAGTAATTTAGGACTATGTATATATGATAACATTGGCTATCTAGGTCGTCCTTCAATACTGAAGCCTGGCCTGCTATGGCCGCTCTTCTGCTAGGTAGTAGGCTAAACTAATGAATTGACGGTTGGTCAGAGTAGATAGAGCAACCACTATCTCTTGATCCCATAACCCTATGATCACGTCTAAGAATTGTCCCCTGGGACCAGCCGTTACCAGTAGCATTAAATGAAATAATATAATGCGAGCCTCGTTTTCCACGTTTTGGTAATAGTATGATGCAAAATGTAGCGTTTTCAAACCTGGAAGTAGAAAAATAACGAAGTCTCATTAATTCATTGCCTTTCAAGGCGTACGATAAATTAAAGTGATGAAGAGAAAGACCTATCACTAGAGACCGTGTCGTAGGATACTCCCAAATGCATAGATCCTCAACTTCTCCAACGTCACAGAAAGCCCCACATGCTGCTGGCGGAGGTCGTGTCAATATATGTCTAACAATACGTTTGGACATTTTCCATCTGGGGGATGAAGGCATACGCCATGGTATTCGCAATGCAAGCGCTCTTGATCCTTCTTGATCCCTTCAAGCATGGGATTTTCTCCGGTGAGCCACTTCGGCTTCTTCTTCACCAAGTCCATGTTGAATGTGCACAAATGAAAGTCAATGATCACAGCCCGATTCAGCTCTGCGCTCCAGAGAACGTTTCTCCATTCGAGGTCCTGATGGTTAACGCCAAGAGACTTGATGTCTTTGTTTGACTTAGATCGGCTTTTCCGCATGATACGCTTGTCAACCTCGACCTTTTCAATTTCCTCACCTCCCCACCCCATGAGTAGCATGTGCCGGATTTTTCCAACTCCCCAGAGAAATATCATGTCGTGCATGTCAAGCTTTCCGATGAAAACAGGAATTGCAGATCCCTGCACGGGTTGAAGCATCCGGTAAATGTCTGCCTCACGCTTCAACTGGGGCCAAAGATAGCAGGTAGTACCTTTGCCGACAATAGTATATCCGTACCTGGGACAGGTAATCTTGAACGGCGCACCAGATAACCCGCACTCTCCCATCGGTTCCGCACAGTCAAGGATTGCAGTCTTGATGAGCTTGACAAGACCGTGAGTATTTATGCGATGATTATTAGATCCATTCTCCTGGTGAAGCTCGAAGTTTGGACAGTTCCTGTCCAGATTGCCGCGCCTTCTTAGACCAAGGAGGCATTTGTGCGTGCAGAATCGTGTATCTAGATGGCTACTACTCTTGGTTCCATCACCTCCCCGTTTAACACGCTTTGAGCGCAGCTCCCTTTCAGGGGATGTAGAAGAGATAGAATCACTAAAGCGACGCTTT